GGAGGTCGAGGCGAAGGTGAAAGGCTGGATGTCGGATGTCGGGGGTCGAAGGCCGAGTTGGTGGAGGGCGGAGGTCGATAGGGCAAGTGAGTGGAGATGGCATCACGGCACCCCGGGCAACGAATGGGAGACGCTCGGGACCCAGCGTCGGGTAAGGACGCAAGTGGAGGGACCGTGTCCTCTCACCCCTTCACGCACCCATTGTGTCATTGCGTCGTATAGAGCTTCCGTCGGCAGTGGGGTCCGGGCGTGTCGTTGGTAGTTAGTGCACCTGTACGTCGAATCAGCGAGGGTCTCTGTAGTCGTAACCAAAAAGGATTAACCAAAAGAAACGACTGGAAATTCACGAACTGGTGCGGGTCGACGTACAGAAACTGCGCGGCAAGTCGCTTTACGATCCAGCACTTCGCGTGGTGCTCGATTGCGTCCTGGGTGTGCGGCCTCCGGGAAAATAACATAGTCCACCCTGGCGATGTTGAAAGCGATGGGCTGTGGTCCATCGATTCCGCATGGTGCTGAATACCGCAGATTGTACCCGAGGGGCCACCGTCGCGCGCATTTGCTTGAGGCGATGGAGGACGACCTGGCCATGCCAGTTTTCCGAGCGCTGCCGCACAGGAAACAAGTGGCACGTGTGCCATGGCTCTTGCACAAAAAGGAAGGGGGAGGAGGAGGATGTGGAGGAGGAGGGGGGGGGGGAGAGGATGCCAGACATCGCAGAAGGGGCGAACGAAACAGGGCCGCGAGAGGGGCTCCAGAGGGCGAGCGCGAGGAGACTCCAAGGGCCGTCTCCCGCAAGATGGCTTCAAAGACCTTTGACGGGTTCCCAGGAAGCCCCCAACTGACACCCGAGAAGCCTACAGAGGGTTCCACGGGGAGGCCTCCAGGGTCCAAGGAGGGCTGGAAGAAATTACTGAGCGGACTCAGCTGCTGGGGGCTCGCGGTGCAAAGTGCGCGGCGGCCTTGTGTTGCGAACGCTTGTCCAAGGCAGTCGCTTTGCACGCAGAGTCTGTCGGGGGGACCGGCTATGCGCCACTTGAATGGGGGCCTCCCCCACATGACCAGACTTTCGGCCCGGGGCGGCGGCGGCGACGACGACGGCGACGACGGCGGCGGCGTCGGTGGCGACGGCGGCGACGGCAAGGCGGCGCCCCTTCCCCCCGGCGTTCCCCTCGCTGAGGCCGCGGGGAACGCTGGGGGGAAGGGGCGAAAGGGGCGCGCCGGGGCAGGAAAGACATTAGCCGGGCACTGGGGCCGCGAGGCACTGGACGGGCGCTGGAACCGCGGGGGCGCTGAGACGGCGTCCGGGAAGGGGCGGAGCAGGGAGGGGCTGCGGCGCCGAAATAAAGTGGTCGGGGCGGAGGGGGCGCTGGGCGAGCGCTGGAGCCGCAGGGGGCGCTGAGACGCGTGGGGGAGGGGGCGGGGGATGGGGGGGGGCTGGGGGGGCGGAGGGGGCACTGGGCGGGCGCTCGAGCCGCGGGGGAGCGCTCAGACGGTGCGGGGGAGGCGGCGGAGCGGGGGGGGGGGGAGCGGTGCCGGAAAATATAAAAGTGGTCGGGGCGGAGGGGGGGGCACTGAGGAGGGGGAGGGGGAGAGAGGGCGGGCGCTGGAGCCGCGGGGGGGGCGCTGAGACGGCGCGGGGGAGGGGGCGGAGCGGGGGGGGGTGCGGTGCCGAAATAAAGCGGTCGGGGCGGAGGGGGCACTGGGCTGGCGCTGGAGCCGCAGGAGGGCGCTGAGACGGCGCGGG